GCTCCAACGGATGGGGAAAAAGGGGAAATCCGGAGGAAGAGGAGGAGGAGGATCTGGGAAAAAAAAAGGGGGGGTTTCCAAGTCGCTTGGAAAGGGTCCCTTTTGCGGGGAGGGGGTTGCATCTAGGGCTTGCTGGGGGGATTCTGGGAGGTGTAGTTCCCTCCCCCCCCCAAAAAAGGTAATTTTCCTGGCCCGCCTTTGCATTCTTTACCCTAAAGGGGAAAAAAGAGGACTTCCCAACTGTTTGGAGCAGGAGGGAAAATAAAGGAAGACCCGGAAAAGAGGAAGACCCCAACAGGAGACGGGTTGATCCCAATAAAAGACGCCACCAGTTTATTTATTTATTAATTAGATTTCTATCCCGCCCTTTTAGACAAAGTCTACTCCAGGTTGCAAGATTTGAGCCAGGCTGGGGATGGAAGACCGCTTTATTTATAGGGTTGCCTTACAATGGGAAGTGACTTGAAAGGAAAGAACGACATAATGCATCTTTGGACTTCCAACACCCATCAACCCCAGTCTGTGTGGATAAGGGTAAAAGGGCTTTGGCAGCTGTCACTCAAAACATCTGGAGGGGTGAAGGGTCCCTGTCTGCAGCACCCCCACAGCAGATCCGTGCACACTGGGATTTGCAGGGGTGTGGGGTAGAAATTGAGAAATGAGGAAGCACCCTTAAATTGCTTCCCGCCCCCCCCCCCAAGGCTGAAAGTAAGCTTGAGGGAAGGGGTGGACTGACAACATCCCACAGCTCCAGCCAGCACAGAGGATGCCTGAGGCATATGAGCATACGTAGTGGGTGAAAAATAATAATATAAAAGCCTGAAAATCTGATCCACAGATTTCTCTCTCTCCCCCCCATATTTGGTTTACAGAGACTTGGATAAATATGTCAGTGAAATCAAAAGCAGGCTTACAAGAATGTTGATGCGAAATGAAATTTCTTAGTCTTTAAAATGCCACTTTTTACTATTTTTGCCCCAAACAAGCACAGCTGTTGCTCTGGAAACAGACTAGGAAACTGACTAAGTTGGATATGTGTGGTTAATTTAGATCAACTGCTTTTCAGTCCTGTTTGTTTTTATCTTTTTGTTTACTTTCTAATGCCAGGATGATTTACTGTAAGACACAAATAATAATAACAATAAAATCATCAACACAATGTTGCAAAAACAAAGCAGCCATGGAGATCAGAGGCAGAATTTTCAACCGTGTGGAAGAATCTCCAGGTACGTGGATCCCAATTGCTGTAAGACCTTAAAGATCAAGTGCAAAACGTAGTATTGGCCTTGGAAGCAGAGTGAAAAACTGTGTTTTTTGCACCAGGTGTGATACACACTTCTTAGTAGCATAGCATCCAATCTAACTAAATTTTCTCTTTATAAGGAACACCAGGGTTTCAGAATTCGATCCTCAGTGTCAGCAGAGAATGGATGACCCCCACCACCAGGCCGCCTCAGTCCGAAAAAGACCATGGATTGTGCACAAGTGTATGGTGTCATATATTAAAAGTGCTGTTTGGCCCTCCATTGACAAAACTGGATGTTGGAGCTTACCCACTAAAGGGGCACAGATTTTGTGGGTTTTGTTGTTGTTGTTTAGTCGTTAAGTCATGTCCAACTCTTCCTGACCCCATGGACCAGAACACGCCAGTGGTTTTAGACTTGGGCTATTCTGAGAGTTGTGGTCGAAAAAATGACAAAGCTGTGAACCTCTTTTATCCCACCTTGCAAACCTCATTCAGGTCAGGGGAGCCCCCCCCCCACATGCTGACCATCCAATGAAGAATGGGTTGTAAATGTTAAATAAATATAATCTCCCTGAAAGGACCCCATGATTTCTTTGTTTCAGGACTTGAGTTTCGGTTTCCTGCCTCTCATTCAGCTCATTGCCAATTTGATATAATACTAAGGGATTCTATACAGTTCTGAACTCTAGTTAAGAAGGTTTATGTTATAAGACATCAATTACAGTAAATCTTGAGTTTTTAGGTGCTCCAATATTTTCTTTAGCAATACCATGTCAGTCTGGAGTGACAAATAAAACCTATTACTGCCACACATCTTTGTTGTTTTTGCTGCACAAGACATTTGTTTGTTTGATTGATTTATGAGCCGCCTCTCTCCCGATTGTGTTAACTTCAGAATTAGAATTGAATGTACCCTATCATCCAGCATGCCCTACATATATGCCCAATGAACTAAAATGATAATGATGAAGTAGCATGTTTAACATTTACAGCTTTCTAAACAATGCCAAGTATAATCTACCGCTCCTGAATAATTTCAATTCACCAATATTCCTCCTCTTAAGCAGGGTGATTTGACTCAGTTTACTGTCGCTCAGGAAGACTTGCCCCTTTCTGAAAAGGCCAGTGCTTGGAGTGAAAGAGGCAGGATTACATCCAATGCCTTCCTATGATCTCGGGAGGCACTGGTGTTTGGTCTATAAGTCATTGTTGCTTTGCCACTTTGGGGGGGCATGAGTTGGTATCTCCCATGCTTGTATTAAAAACGATCAGGATTGTCGTGGCACCTGACTGGATACATTTTGACATTCGTTTTCACGGGCTGCAGCCCACGGAGGCAAAGGGCAGGACAAAGATACAGGCTTTCTGGACTTTTGTAATATTTCCATTTATTTACACATAGTGCAGGCTGTACATAAGTGAAGTCACACACCTCCAGGGTTGCAACAGATTCATCACAGGCTATTAACACTCTCGCCTGAAGTCCAAAGGACTGGCTCCGAGCAACCCACATCTATGGGCCTCATCCCAGAAATGTGACGGCCAGAATACCTTAACAGATTCTGTACCTCCAACCCTGAGGACAGGCAGGCCATTTCACCTGGCTGTGTTGTTAGTGACTGTTGCTTTGTCAATCAGCTAACTACACTGCCTGGTAACAAGGCTGCTGTTTGCGCTTGTATCCAGCAGCCTAGGTGTTTTTTTTTTTCCTTCAGTAAAAAGGTTGCAGAACAGGCTCAGTAGACATGGGGAAAGACATCATCTTGAGGACCTTGATCTGTGGCTTACATAGCAAAATCCCAAAGTATGTATTCTCCTCTACAACAGAATAGCGACCTTCCATCCAGTCTCCTGGGCTTCTAGGAAGCCGTGGAGTCTCTAAAAGTCAAAGCCCTTCATGGATTCTCTCCTATATGCTGGTGAAAAATGCCAGGCAGTTGCAGCTTCCATGGGTCATCCTTCCTTCTGCTTTGGCCTTCTTTAGATTCCTCTAAAATCGATGAGCTAGCTGGTGGTCTCTTATGAGATAACAAGGTCTTATGAACTGAGACAGCACTGATGATTCAAGTCCCATTAACACTTCCAATGATGGGCGCCGCCCAGGCCCATACCACCAAAGGAGGCTGGAGGAGAGATTTTGGGAGATATTGTCCGAAAGAATTCAAATTTCCCCACTTTTGGCCCACCTTGAACCCTTGCAGAATTCTGCACCCATTGGACCAAGCCCCATAAGATCACGGCGGATTGCCCCTGGGAGCCATAACATCCCCATCTGGCAGCCACAGGCCAGCACAGATGTTTGGACCCACTCAGTAGTATTTTTTCAAGCCAGCATCGTCCCTTAAAGACCCATTGTCTGGTTTGCCGATGAGC